GGCCGCGCACTGGCGGGGGGAGGTGCGGGAGCAACACCAGGGGTTGCGATCCCGTGGCCGGTACCGGTCTGGTACGGGCGCGACACTGAGGGTTGCGATCCGTTGCCGGACACGAAAAAAGACAAAAAGAAAAAATAAATAAATAAATAAATAAATTATATCTCAATTTTTTTTAAAAAAAGTTACCAATAAATAAATAAGCTAGGGGGTGAGGGATCACCACATCTCCTTAGGCTCTTACTGTTTTCTCTCACAATGTGTTTGCCATTTTCTTGTTGTTTACTTGGCCTTGTATTAATAACCTGGAGTTCTCCTGCAGGAATCTTTTAAAACCAGCTGCTCCCTTTATGAGGTTAGTTCAGTTAAATAACATCCTTAAACTAGTCACCTAGACACTCATAAACTGCCATCTACATTTCAATGCTCTGAGAACAAACAATGGTAGAGTCCCAGCTCCTTCCACAGGACATCTCAAGGACTGGACCTAAGGGCCGGCCCGTGGCTCACTCGGGAGAGTGCGGTGCTGATAACAACAAGGCCCCGGGTTCGGATCCCATATAGGGATGGCCGGTTGGCTCACTTGGGAGAGTGTGGTGCTGACAACACCAAGTCAAGGGTTAAGATCCCCTTACCGGTCATCTTTTAGGAAAAAAAAATGATTGGACCTAACAAAGGCTTGTCTGATATATATGGAGTGATGGTCCCTGGGTCAATCCTGAATACTATTCGTAAGATTTAAATTTTGCATTAATTCTGGGGATGAAAATGAAATGTAAACAGATGCTCTAATCTTTTCTTCCTGCCCACAGTCATCTTGCAAACTCCACCTTGGAGTCCACAGACTCAGATACTCATGTTCTGAAAAAGAAGGGCGAACCTCACCTTCACAGAGACTGTTCTCAAACTCTGCGGTCCTCTGGATCACTTGGTTCACCTATTAAAACTGCAGGTCTGGACACAACTCTGAGGGCTCCTGACTCTGGCCCAAGCAATCGGGCCCAGATTTCTCATGCTTTAAGAAACACTGCTATAAAATCCTACTATGAAACTCCAAAAGTGAGAGGAGTGACTGCAATGGCCAGAGAAGATGTTCTTAGGGTGGTGGCCACATTCTAAGATTGGATGGTTGTGATGGTTCCACAACTCTGCAGATTTACTAAAAACCATTGAATTACGATAAACATGGCTCAGTTTTATGGGATATAAATTTTACCTCAATAAAGCTGTTAAAAAAAAAAAACAGGGGGAGGGGAGAGAGGGAGGAGGGAGGGAGGTGTCGGTGACGGGCCATAATAATCATATACAGTGTATATTGACAAAATAAAAAAAATAAAAAAAAAAAACATGAAAAAGCCTTCATAGGTCTCATCACAAAAGTATTCATGTGCTTCCTGCAGGATATTTAGATGTCATGAGAGAAAGACGTACATGGCCTCGCTGGGGTGAACTTGTACTGGAATTCTGAGCTCACGCCAGCCTAAGACCTAACCCTACAACATTAGCTATTTTAGACCCACCACCAGAATGGGCAAATCAATTTATGAGCTTCCACAAAGGAAAGAGTCTGAGGTGGAGTTCATGGTCAGAAATGTTGTTTTCTGACTTTTAACACTTTACAAGGAGTGGTATCGGTGCTAAATCAAAAATGACCCATAAAAGCTGAAATATGCAAATATCCTGGCAGGATGGCTTCTGCAAATACCACAAGCTCTTAAAAATACCACCAAAATGGGCGAGGGTGTGTATCTGGCCAGGGGCACACACCACCGCCTATGAAACTGTCTATATAACTGTCAACACGTGTTTGAGAGGGAAGCAGATACGTAGCCGGGTGTTGATAAGCACCACAGGCCAAACAACAAACCCCCTCAGAAGGAGCTGGGTTGGTGGCTCAGAGGGAAGAGCCTGTACAGGACACTAAAGGCCGGGAGGCAGCGCGTGCTGAGAAGAGAAGGGTATTGGGAATTATATCTCAATTCAGCTGTTAAAAAATGCAAGTGAATTGCTCCGGGTATGGAAACAGAGGGCTTTACCTGGGTGTAAATGCTAAAAATGTGGCTCTGTACTTCGTCCATTGAGTCGAGGCCATAGGCCACTGTTCCCAAGTGCAGCCGTTTGAAAACCATCTCATTCTGGGTAAGAGTTCCTGAAACACAGGACAAATGAGTAATTGTGCCTGCATCCCAGGGCATTATTACCATTAACAGTAACGACAGCTGCTGCTTTCTGAGAGTTCACTATACGTCACACACAGGCTTCAGTACTGCCCCGCTGGAGTAGGATCCGTGGTATTTTGTCTGCCTAGAATCCCATTCCCCTTGAAAATGGCATCCTAAACTTCCATGGGGAAATTACCATGCCATTCCCTGGGGTGACCCAGGAGGACTCTCAGTCAGGGTGCCTGACACGTTCCATTGGCCAAGAGGGTGACACATGACATACTAGGCCAATCAGATTCTATCTTGAAGGAACCTGAACCTTGAGCAGAAAGATACACAGATGGAAGATGAATAGAGTCCAGCCACCCCAACAGCAGAGCCTTACAGAGACCATTCCGGGGGTCCTGAGGCTGACATGTCCACAACTTTCCTGGTTCCTCTCCTTCCTGAAACCTCCCGTTTCTCTGATTTGGTGAGCCACCCAGGATCTCTGCAACGGCTTCCCTTCCATGCCATGGCTACTAAATGGTAGAGATGAAGCTTCAAGCCAGACTCCCCAACTCCCCGATCTTTGCTCTTTGCCATTATGATAACCTCATAGCTGGACAGACACTAAACTGTGGAGCAGTATCAGGTGTTGTTGTGAGACCAGGGCTCAAAGCCAGACTGCCTGAGTTCAACCCTGTTTCAGCCACTATATGCTGTGACACGTCACTTAACCTCTCTGTGCCACATGTTAAAGAAGGAAACACAACTTAACTCACAAGGTTAGGGTGGGGACTAACCGGGTAAACTGCATATTAACACCCAAGAACAGTGCTTTGCACACAGTCCTATGTAAGGGTTCGCTATAATCACCACTGTCATCAACAAGTAATCAATCTCTGCCAAAAGGTGAAGAGAATAAAATAGCAGCATTCATGCATCTCTCCTACGTCCAGAGAGAGAATCCAAGATTTTGGTCAAAGCTCTCGTGCACCTTCCTTCACCTGGAATCCCACACAGGCCCAGGAAGCAGCTCACCTGTCTTGTCTGTGAGTAAGTAAGAAATCCTGCCCAGCTGCTCAGGAATCGTGCTGGAGCGGACCACGGTGCCAGGGATCTTTGAATCTCTCCGAATCACCCAGCTGTACACAATCTTGCCCATGTCCAGGTTCACGCGCAAACTAGTCAGAAAACCAGAGCACACAGATTAGCAGGACAGGTGTGAGGCTCCTGGTATCTTTCTGTGAATGACAGGGACTCTAAATACGTTTGTGCCATAACATCTGGACTCACAACCTACAGAAGTGCACTGCTGGGGCTGAATCCACAGATTTAACAAGAATTAACCCATCATCAAATAATGCACTAAACAAATCATTATTTTCATGAATTGATTCCGTTATGGACCAAAGTCAATTAAAATACAGAAAGGGCAGCTGTTTCAATCTTACTTTTTTTTTTTTAAATTACTGGTCACCTAAGCTAATGTATTTTTCATGCTCTATTCCTTTTTTAAATTGTGGTAACATATACATAAATTTTACCACTTTAATCATTGTAAGTGTACAGTTCAGTGGTGTTAAGTACATTCACACTGCAGTGCAACCATCACCACCATCCCCCTCCAGAACTTTTTCATCTTCCCAAAATGAAACTCCATACCCATTACACAATCCCATCGCCACCCCACCCCTTAGTCCCCTGGGGAGCTCCATCCTACTTATGTCTCTATGAATCTGGCTACTCTAGGTACCTCACATAAGTGGAAGTGTACACTACCTGTCCTTTTGTGTCCGGCTTATTTCATAATGAGCATAATGTTCTAAAGGTTCATTCACATTAGTGTATATGCCAGAATTCCCTTCCTTTGTATGGCTAAACAATATTCCACCGTATGTGCTATATTCATTTTTTAAATATTATTTTGTTGCAAAGAATAAAGAGAAATCTTCAAATTGACTCATAATCCTGTAAACTAATCAAATTGCTTGCCATTTTACTGGCTAGCCCTAGGCCATATGAAGATTCAATCCACTAATTTTTAACCATGTTACAGACAGAACTTTAAAGTCTACAAATTTCACCCAGCAGCACACCATAATAAACATGTTTTGCTAGCAATCGGGTAGATTTATTTATTCTCGGAAACCATCATCCCGAGCACGTTGGTTAGGGTACAATCCCCATGTGTAAGTCACGCTCTCATGCCAAAAACTACAATCTCTGTCCTCAGAAAAAAGACAAATTCTAACCAGGATGATATAAATATGCAAAACAGCAAGACAATATATAAGATAATATATATCAAATATAAGAGAGAATACAGCACTGAAAGTTTCAGGAAAAAAGATATTTTGTTTAGTAAATATTTACTGATTACTATGGGGAAAAAGTAGAAACAAGTATTCAACAATATGGGAAAAAACAGATTGCTATATCTAGAATATATAACAGAACATCTCTAAAAAATGACGGGGAAACTGGCTGGTTGGCTCAGTCAGTTAGAGCATCGTGTTACAACACCAAAGTCAAGGTTTCGGATCCCCTTTCCGGCCAGCCACAAAACAATAAAGAAAGAAAATAAAAAGTGATGGGGTACATTTGATGTGAAAAGTTATTTACAACATATTGCTCTAATTTTTTTTTAAAAAGGCAGATTTTATGTAGAACAAAATCTCCTTTTTTTAAAATAGAAAGCAGTCTAGAAAAAAGATATATCACAAATTATTAACCATGATTTTTGTTTGGTCATGAGATTAGAGGTGATTTTTATTTTCTTCTTTTACTAATGTGGATCTTCATTTATTTTCTACTATGAAAATCCACTACTTACATCATTTTTAAAAACCATTTATTCAGCTTCCAAATTAGGTATGCAAATGACTGGCATGCACCACCAAGCTTCCATTGCTATCTATGGCAGACAGTGCTAATCAATGACAATATTATTTCTTTTTGTGCCTAGACTCAGACTCAGAATCCTTCTCAACACAGCATTCCCAACAGCCACTACCAACTGTACAGGACGGGCAGGTAAGATGAACCCTAAACAGCATCCGTAGCATAGACTGGTCAAGGCAAGGAAAGATGTTTTGAGTGGAGAGTGATTCAAGAAAGGATACTTTATGGAAGAACGTGCCCTTCCAATGCTATAGCCACAGAGCATGGTTCATACTCCTGACCCTGCTGGTTCCTGGTCACCACTCTACAAAGACACAAGCTCCTTCTGAAAACCACAACCATGATCTCTGAATGAATAAAGAAATCATCACAGCTCCCAAATACAAACTCAACCCCTGCTTACCTGATGGGAATGATGTTGGAAAACAGGAGGAGGAAGCGGATGATCTGCAGGTACCAACGACCCGCGAAGTGCTGAAGGGCAACCATGACCAGCGAGACCACCACCAAAGCGCCAAAGAGGATCTTGGTGAGGCAGTTCACTTCCAGGTCAAAGAGGCCAATCTGTGGCACCAAGCACAAGGGGCAGCTTGAGACTACTGGGTACAGCCCACAGCCTACCTGGCAAGCTGGTCCTTCACCCATGAACACCTCCACCCTAGGTGAGACAATGGAATCCACCGATCCTCCTGTCTCTGGTCTGAGAAGACTAGGCACTGTAGGCTGGAGTTCAGATCAGACATTGAAGGGACCTCAAGGAATTCTGATTTCCAAGTTTCTTGGTAACTTAAGAAGATTTAGACTTAAAAACACATGAGCAATTTTCTGCTGCGGCGGGTTGCACTGTGTGCTGCCTAGCCCCTAGCACCCTACACTGTGGCCCCATAAAATGACTCAGCTCCTACACTCTCACCATGGTGTCACACACTAATTCACCACTGCCAAAAGTTGGGGGCACATACCACTGGTGGCACCTGATTTTTAGGTGCTGTATTAACGAATATTGTTATCTTAATAATTATATATTTATTGTCACATGTAGTACAAAAAAATGTAACTAGCACATCAAATCCATAATGCCACAGAAATACAGCCCAGGATAGGGCTAAAGCATCAAATAAATGACGTTATTGTTGTAATGATGGTTGTGACAGTGTGGCCAATAGAACAAAGTTTGGGAAACAGTATTCCTTCATGCTACTGACAAAGGACATCATTCTGCAATGTTCCAACCCTTAAAAATTGAGGAGGTAGGGCTGGGAGGGAGGGTCTTGATGGGAAACGAGCGATGATGGGGGCATCAGACCACAGCTACAACCCCACAGCCAGGCCCCAGCCCATCACTCAACATGGGTTTGGGTCCTGCGGGCCAGTCCCTCCTGCTGCACGGCCTGGGCAGAGCATGCCTTGCCTGTAAGGTGAGGAAGGGTGCCAAAGCACCTGCACTCCAGGGCTGCTGCGAGCATCAGGTAAGACACAGGTGAAGGATATAACACCACCTGGCAAGTAGCACGCACTCGGTCGTTTGTTCTAACGTTTGAAAAAGCTTTTAAAGTTTCATGTATTCATGTACACGTGAGTACAAATTTACATATTGTACTATGTATGTGTGTATATGTATATGTGTGTGTGTATACACACATGAGGGCACTTCGAAAAAGTCATGGAAAGACTCATTATTTTTTAGCTCCTTTTTTCCACAAACTTTGTGAAGTACCCTTGTATATGCATGAAAAGATAGTATGTTTGTATAAATGAAATACCACTGTTCGGGGTTTCTGTTCTAAATCTAGTTGCTGACCGCACCAACATGGGTCATCAATAGACATGGGATCAACACATCCCACGACCTCTTACACACCTTACTTCGGGGATTTGAGGTATTCATGACGCTCCGGAGTTCTCTGCCGGTATAGAGAACGACACCCACCACAGTACCTGAAATGAGAAAACAAAACCCAAAGAAATATAGAGACTTACAAAGAAATATTAAGTAGGGCTTGCAAGTAGAAGAGTCTGGCCTGCTTGAGAGAGTGTTTGCTAAATCCAACAGCCACACCAGAATGTCAGAAATTCTACATTGGGGCCAATGATCTATGGCTACGCTGACCAGCAGGACAGACACAAGCCACATGCAACTATTTAAGTTCCATTAAAATTAAATACAGTTCCCCACTCTTACTAGTCACATTTGAAGTATTCAATAGCTACACAGGCTACTGACTGCCTCAGGGGACAGCGAAGATATAGGGCATCCGGTCTATGGGGTCCAGCAGGCTCTACTAGCAGGAGAGTCGGGGGAAAAGTGGTTTGTCCTTTGCACCCCTGGCTTTAGAGGCTTCCAGCAGTGCCCAGAACATTCCTATCTTCATAAACTATTATGGAAACTTCTAAATACACCCTTCTTTTTAGAGCACATTCTTCCTAGTGAGTCTGATTCCTTTCAGATTCTGTGCCTAACTTGACCAGATGACACCCCTTTATTGAAAGCTTCCCCACCCTCTCCCATCCTCCAGGCACAATAAGGAAAGGCATCAATTCTTCTAAAAATAAACAATTTACAGAAGAAATACAAACGGCCAGTTAACATTAGAAAAGATGCTCAATACAGTGAATAATCAAAGAAATGCAAAATAAAAGTCTATCCGCATTAGATTGGCAAAAAGTCAGAGGACTGACAACATCCATTGTTAGCCACGAGGCAGGGAAATGGGTCTTATCACACACTCCACTGGCTGAAATGTATATTGGTACAATCTATTTGGGGGAAAATTCGGCAATATCTATCAAAAATGTGCCTGTCTCTACTTTTCAGTGTATGCCAAGAAAACGTTCA